GGTTTAGGGCTGTTGTACATAGGGTCGCTATGAGTCGCAAACGACTCGATGGCACATAACAACAACAACAACATGTCTGTTTTCAAGGACTGGACCTTCTTATCAACATGCCCAAAGTATGTGAGATGAAGTTTCATTATCTTTTCCTCTAAGGAACACTCTGTTTGTGCTTCCTTAAAGACAAATTTGTTTGTTCTTTTGGCAGTCCTTGAGATATTCAGTACTCTTCTCTTAACACCACAACTCGAAGTCATCAATTTGTCTTTGGTTTGAAAATGTCGTAGCTTAAAGAGGTCCTTGAACAGCAGATTTCTCCAATGAAACACATCATTTGATTTTTTTGGCTTCTGGCATCTTCTATAGTTTTTGGTTGTGGATAAAAATATAATGAAATAATTGACAACTTCAATGTTTTCTCCGTTTATCTAGTAGGATGTCACCTGTTGGTTCAATAGTGAGAATTGTTGGTGTTTGTGGGTTTGTTTGTTTTCTTTTTTTTTGCTTGTTTGTTTGAGATGTAATCCATATTGAAGGTATATTTGCAGTCATTAAGTCATTGGTCTTGCAAATTTTGTCACAGCATAGTTTCTATCACTAAGGCTGTATTTTCCAGCTAACAATTGATCCTCCTCCTTTGTTTTCAAGTTTCACATTTTAATCACCAGTAATTATCAATGCTTCTGAATTATATGTTGGATCAAGTTCAGACTTCAGTGTTTGGTAAATTTTCATTTCATACAAATTGGAACCACGGTTTTATTAACTGGTATTCTTTGTAGGCATATGGATCTATTCTACTATTGACAGTATTGTACTGTAGAATAGACCTTGAAGAGCGTATTTTTCTGATGGTAAATATGATGCTGATTTGTTGCTGTGTATTATTGAGTCAGAACTAGCCCATAGTTGGCCCTCAGCAGGTTTTCAGAAGTAGTGAATCACATGGAAGGAGACCATTCATCTTTCTTCTATGGAACAGCTGGTGGATTTGAACTTTATACCTTTGCATTAGAGAGCTCTGGTGGCCTAGTGGCAGGAAGCTGTGCATCACTCCTGAAGGCACACAGTTTTAATCCACAAGCTTCTCTTCAGAAGAAGGATGATATCCCTTCCCATGCAATTTCTGAAAACATGTGGGAGGATCAGCTATGGGTCAGGTTCCAACTGGACAGCACACAACAACCTTAGCATTGGCAGCCCGGGCCATGTATTTGTGCAACTTATAGTGGTCAATATCATCCATTCCAGTTCACTAATGGCAAAGATATTGATCTTCTTTATGCATTCCATTTCATTTTGGTAATTTAGAATTTTCATAAATTTATAATAAGTAAGTCCCACATTCCAATTATTAATGGATGCCTTCAGTGATTCTTTCTAGTTTTGAATTCTGATGCACCAGCTAATAAAAGTCCTGAAGGCTTTACTCCGTCCACTTCATTAGTTTCAACTTGACTGTGAGGAGGGATCTCTGGTCTGTGGAGAGTTGTACTATTTACCCAGAAATGGCACCTCTCTGGTAGTTCAGATTCATTAGTGATTCTGTGGGAGAAAGATGGACAGTCTCTTCTTGAGTGATTTACAGCCTCCAAAACCCAATGGAGGCTTAGCTATGAGTTGGTCCCAACTCAATGGTGATAAATTTTACTTTGAGGTGGTGTTTCTTCCTCAGCTGTGTTTTGAGAGCCGTCTCTTGGAGTTCATCTTCTGGGGCCCTCAAGTTCCAACAGTAAGTGACCTGAGTGCCCTACTCCACAAGTGTCCTGCCCAAAAGTACTCAGCTCTCTCCCTTGCAAGTGGAGAAGCCCGCTGTATGGTCTCCTGGTCCTGCTGTCTCTGCTGTTGCTTCTGTCTCATACCATCCTCAGAGTTACAGTTAATGTGCTGTCTCTGTCTCCTGGACCCAGGAGGTTCCCAGTGCAGGTCCCCTTGGTTTAAAGGACACACACTGGTAACACCTCTTCTTTTTAATGGTAGTTAGCACTCCTCCCCCCTTAGTTGCAGGTCCCAGCCCCAAGAACACATTATTTGCATTATTAGCAAGCTGTCCAGCCCCCTTGGCTGTCCATAAACATCTTATCCACACATTCTCACTTGATCATTTGGTGGGAGTCCAGGACCGTGGTGAGAAAGGTAATGTAACAGCAATTGTTGCTGTATAAGCAGCAGGGGCAGGTGAAAGGAGCCATGTCCATGGGTCTCTACAGCTTGGTAGGTGTCACGTTTACATTTGTGTTAGTGTATGCTGTCAATATACCTATGCATATAGCAAAATAGGCAGGATACAACGTTCTGTAAACTTCTTTCATAGCCTATAATTCTGAGGGAAAGTTACTGGTCTTAGAGCCTCAAGATCATCGTCTTGGGAGACATCAAGGTCAATGACAACACATAGTCCACACACAATGCTCTCCTTTCTAGATAGGTGAGCAGCCTCTGGGGTCTTGAAAGCTTGTGAGCATTTAAGATGTAAATGCTGGTCCCTTCTGTTCAAAACAAAGAATGAAGAAAATAAAAGATGTATAGGAAGATTCTGTTCAAAAGGTGAACGGTCCATGCAAACCTCAACATCGTGATGCTGAAATGAGAACTAGGTGGCGCCTAGTTACCACCAATGACGGCTTTGAAAGGGGTCACAGTCAAAGAGTCTGCTTATGGTGGCGAAATGTGCAACAAAGCTCAAAAACATCTTACTCGTCCGATAGAGACTCATGTTGTGTTAGGTGCCGCTGAGTTGAGTATGACTCTAAGTGAACACAGACCTGAGCCCTGTCCTGTCTTGTGCCATCCTCACCATCTCTCTGGCACACTTGAGCCCATTGCTGCAGTCACTGTGTCAATCCACCTAGGTGAGGACCTTTCTCTCTCTCGCTGACCCTCCACATTTCCAAGCATGATGTCCTCTAAGGAACAACCTCTCCTAACACCACGCCTGAAGGATGAGATTAAGCTTTATCATCTTTGTCTCCCAGGAGCACTCTACTCTGGTTGCACTTTCTCCAAGACACGTCTGTCTGTTCTTTTGGGCGTCCATAGAATGTTCAGTGCTCTTCTCTAACACCACAGCTCAAAGGCTTCCGTTCTTTTTCTGACATCCTTATTCACTGTCCAGATCCACAGCAAGTGATCAGAAAGACCATGGCCTGATCAGCGATCAGGGATTAGTCTTTAAACTTCCAGCCAAACAGTGGGCAGGCCTGTCAGGCAGACAGTAGCATGAGGGAGGCACCCACACTTTAGAATAATCACCTGAGGATCATGAGGGTAGCATTTGTCCAGGGGTAATGCCAGAAGGCAAGATGGGGTAGGATAGAAGGATTTCTGGAAAAGAGAACTGCAAGGAGGGAGTAGGGAGAGTGTGGTTACATTGAAGCGATTGTAATTAACATGTAAAGCAACATGTGTGTGAAAGATTGAATGGAAAACCATCTAACTTTGTTAACTGTTCACGCAAATCACAGAGAAAATAGGCGAACAAACAAACAAGAAGCAGTCTCGCCCCACTGCCCTGAGACGGAAGTGGGTGGGCTGCTGTCTGGCAAGAGCATCCTTTCTCCACTCTCTGCACTCAGTGGTGCTGGGCTTTTCTGCTCCTGGTGTATTTGTGGGCAGTGCCATCTTGTTGTTGTGACTCATAGTCCTGTATGTGTCCGTAAGATCATGTGTCTGATGGTTTCTAGTGAGCCCTCGTGTGCAGTGGCTAAAGTGACAACTACAATGTTGGCAGTTCAGGTCCACCAGCCCCTCCATGGGAGAGAAAGGAGGCCGGCCGGCCTTGGAGGGCCAGGGGGCAGTCCTGCCATGTCCTGCAGTGTCCCCGTGAGTCAGAACAGATGTGCATTTCCGTTGTTTCTCTAATTGTGGAGTTAGAAGATCTTTATTTGTATCTTCATTTTTATGTGGAAGGAGTCTGGTGGCACAGTGGGTACATGCTGTGCAGTTAGCATGACCGTTCCAACCCAGAGTGGCTCTGCAGGGGGATGGTGTGGTCATCTGCTCATGCAGAGACAGCAGCCTGGTGGATGCTATTCGTCCAGCAGTGACTTGATCACACATTGAGGCAGCAGTCTGTATGTACAACGTGAACATAGCAGAATAACTTTTCCCTGGGTGTCAGCATGCTTGGCTGTTAACCCAAGGACTAGGAGTTCTAGCTTTCCCACAGACAACCTGGAAGAAAAGCTGGTTGTCCAGTGAGAACCCCCGAGAACACAGCTCTGCTCTAGCACCACAGGGCCCCCTGGGGACAGTCAGCTCATGAAGCAGTGTCTTTGTGTTTTGCTTTGGGGTCTTTTTGCTCCAGGGACCTGTGAGAAATCTCAAGCTGTTTTCTTCCCTCTCTTCTCCATCTAGATGACCCAGGTGTCCAGGGCAGCCCAGACGGCCACCCCCAGTCCACGGATCCTCCAACTGGCAAAGCCCAGGCCCCCAGCCACCCTGCTGGAAGAGTGGGACCCCATGCCAAAGACCAAGCCACATGTGTCGGACAACAGTCGCCTCCTTCAGCTGGCCAGTGAGTGAGCTGTAGAGATGGCTTGCATGGTATCCCCACATCCTTCCCTTCTGGCAATGAACTTGACAGATTGGACTGGAAACCCAGTCCCTCACTGCCTCCCTTAACAATTATCCAAAGTCCTGTGGGCAGTTTACAGCTGGCTATGCAGGTGTGCCACAGAAGCGGAGATTAGAGAAATCGTGGTCCCTAATCACAGCTGTCTCTACTAGGGTCTCCTGGCAGTGCAGCAGTACAGGAGAGAAAGTGGGGGTGTAAGAGATAAAGTTGGGGTGCAGCAGAGAGATCTGGGGAATAGGAGATAAAGCTGGGCTGCAAAAGAGAAATCTGAGGAATGGGAGAGAAATTCAGGGTATAGAAGATAAAACTGGGCAAATGTGAGAATTGGGGTGCTGGAGAGAAAGCATGTGTACAGGAGAGAAATCTGGGGTGCAAGAAGAAAATCTAGGGTAAAGAAGAACATGGAAAGTCCATGCCTTTTGAATGGTCTGGATCAGGTTCCTTGTCCTTTAAATAATTTTCCTGAGGCTGTGAATCTTTCTGGGAAGAGATTGGCCGTCTGTCCTCCTCAGAGCAGCTGGTACATTCGAACCACTGACCTTTCTGTTTGCAGTGTCTGCTCCATGCACCGTGCTCTGGGTTCCATTCTCTACTGAGGCACTGGGGGAAACAGTAAGCTGTGGAAAGAAACGAAGGGCCCTCTCCCCAGCTTGAAGGATGTGGTCCCATCTGTCCACCAGATGCAGATGACCTTGCTGGATTGGAAAGTTCTCTTGTTTACTGAGAAGCACCAAGCCAGTGCACTGACCATTGCCCACTGACTGGTAGTGAAGCCAAGACACACTGCTGCAAGGTGGAGCTCAGGGGACTCCTGCTGCTTACTGCTGCCCCTTCTTGCCCCTTCCAGTGCCCAAGGTCCTGTCGGAGAAGTGTGTACCCGACCGCAACCCCCACTGGCAGGTGCTGGATGCTGCCAAGAAGGCGGTGGCCAGTCCCCGGATCATCTCCCTGGCTAAGCCGAGGGCACGTAAGGACCTCCATGAGGATTACAACCCGTACCACATCTCTCCAGCTTCTCTGGTTGCCCGGGCCTCGCCTCGCCTCAATGAGCTCGCCATCCCCAAGAGCATCACCAGAAAAGTGTGACTGGCCAGGCGCCACAAGGTCGTTTCCCCAGTAAACACCCCTGTGCATCCACCTGTGTCCGTGTCCACCTGTGGGTGCTCTGTGGGGAGCAGGCAGGGCTGGGGGCCAACATTCAACTTATGGTCTGTACATCCCAGTTATTTCCCAAGCCATCTTCACTGGCTAAAACTCTCCCTCCAAACCTCTTACATCCAAAACTGCCCCTCCAGCTCCTTCCTGGGCCCACAGGCATCTCAAACCCTGAGGGACACCAGTAATGAACCCTGAACACCAGCAGGAGCCCTAGTGATGCATTTATAACGTGTAGTGTGGCTACCCAAGAGGCTGGAGGTTCAAATTCACCAGCTGCTTCTTGGGAGAAAGATGGACAGTCCCCTCTCAGACAGATCCACAGCCCCGGAAACCCACAGAAGGCACTGCAAGTGTACTCATCTCCATGACGGCGAGTCATGCCTGCTACGTGGCCTTGTTGATCTGGGGAGGCCCAACAAAGAGGTGACTGTAACTGTGCCCATTTTACAGGGAGAAATTGAGGTCCAGAGACCTTGGGAGAAGACCATAGTCTTTAGACAGCTGTTGCAAATCACCATGAACTTGGTGGCTTATGAGGACACCTCCATCCCGGCCGTTTGGGAATCAGTCCCACTGGGCCTGGGAAAGCAGGGCTGGGCATGTTCAGAGGCTCCAGGCTGTGTGTCCCTTTGTGTTCTCAGCTTCCAGGAGCAGCCACAGTCCTTGGCTTGTGGCCCTTTTGGAGCTTCCCACTCTGACCTCTGCTTCTGTCCTCTCTTGTGAAGTCAAGGGCATGTGGTGCCTGCAACAAGGGTTTGAACACAGCAGCAACCATGAGGATGGTGCAGGGCCACTCTATCTGCCAGGATTGGCAGGCAGCAACACCCTCCACCCCCCTCCCAGAGCACAAGGTGTGGGTGGTCCAACTCTCACTGGGCCTGATGCTTCGAAGGCTCATCGTGCTGGAAGGCTAGGTTGGTGTCTATCATCTCTGCGTGAGGGACTGTGAAGTGTTTTCCATCCATGAGCTGATGGGCGCTCTGGTCATTTCCACTTTGGCCACTGCAGACACTGCCACCATTTTTTATGGCAGCCTTACTGAGGACTGCATTCTGGACTCTGTCCTAAAACACATACTGTTAGAATTGTTCAAAAGTATATATTGTATATTTTGTACCTGCTCCCCACCCTGAGTTTACAGGACCCATCCAGGAGCTCGACTGGGAAGCCTAGACTTCCTGGACCCCTTCCTGTCACTCGCTGGCCACATCTGTCCATCAGCTGAAGCTTTAACAATGACCTCTCCATCCCACCCTCATCACCACCATGTTTCCAGGGTCAGTGCAGCTGCCGCCCTCCAGGTGTCCCCGGCTCAGTGTGGGGCCTGTACTCTCGGTCACTAAGGGATGCCCTGCCCAGTAGCAAGGTGAGCACACATTCAGGGCACCGACCACATGGGGCATTGAGCTCTGCAAGACCCATGATGTCCAGCAGACAGGACACAGGACACTTAGCAACTCAAAGGAAGGGAGGCTGGCTAGTCATTAGAAAAATCATTACTATTTTGTATATTTAGTATTATGATACAAATGTTAGTTTTCTTTTGAACTGATTTGGCATAACATAACTTCAGGGTTAGTTCTCTCTCGTCGACCATGCAGGAGCATGTCCAATGAAGTCTGCTGTTGTGGTGTCCGTTCTGACTCACAGCAAACCTCCAGCTGGTTTCTGTGTGTATTTCCAAGAGAGGAGATTGCTTAACTTTTCCCTGCAGAGCAGCTGGTGGATTTGAACTGCCAACTCTGATTGGCAGCCCCATCTGTTAAGCACTGCATGATGAGGCTCTTTAACGACGTACCAGTGAAAACAAAGCAAACGGAGACTGAAGAGTAGTGTCCTAATCATGTGACATATCTGATCCTGATCTGTGCAAATGAACCACAATGTGTAACCAAAATGTGTCTTCAGACTGAGGCACCTGCCATCTGTGCCCTGTGCGTGGTGATGGTCCATCCACCCAGTGAGCAGCAGCAGTGGTCCAGGGGTTGTGTGTTGGAGGAGTGGGGAGTGAGAGCGCATGCCTGATTATTTCAAAGTGGAAACACTCTGGAGATCTGCAAAGGGCCAGCCAACAAGCATCATACAGCAAGACAAATTATTACTCCCTGCTTTTTGTGTATGTTTCTCTTGACAATCCCAGGCCTGAAGAACAAAATCACATGCTGTAAAGAGTTTTTTCATTTACTGATTTTCAAATACAAATTTCAGTGTTAATACAAAAATGAGAATGTAAATTTTGTGTCATAAGTATCACTTATAAATTTTATTTGAGATCATTCAGCTTTTTACTATAGTAGAACCAGATTGAAAAAGTGGTATAATTGTATATCCAGGTTAAATGAAATAGCAACTACTAAGTGGAGTGAAAAAAAAAAGAGAGAGAGAGAGGCAGAAGATGAAAACAATTTGTGAATCTTTAAAGGTATTTCCAAAATTAACTTTGCTTTTGAATGTGACAAGCCTTGAGTTTGACAGATGTGAGCCACTGTCCCAGCACCGGCAAAATCACTAACCGTTAGGCACCGCTGAGCGGGCGTGAGCTCACAGTGACCATGCTCGACAGTGCACAGCATCGCCAGGTCCTGTGCACCCTCACAGCTGTGTCTGTGTGTGAGTTCACTGGTGCAGCTACTCCCTAAATCGTTTCATTCAAGGTCTCCTCTGTTCACTGACTACCTTACCAAGCATGATGTCTGTCTCCTGAACTAGAGAACATGTTCCAAGGATGTGAGATGAAGTCTCACCATCCATGCTTCAAAGGCGCCCTCTCGCTGCACTCCTTCCATGGAAGAAGCCCCTTGTACTTTCTTGTATTTCTCCTTCTGGCAGGCCAAGGCATATTCCATATTCTTCACCAATTTCATAATTCAAAGACATCACACTTGGTTTCCCTTATTCATGGTCTAGCTTTCACATGCATATGAAGCAAGAGCTCTGGTGACTTAGTGGTAAGGAATTACCCCACCAACCCAAAGGTATACGGGTTAAATCCACCAGCTGTTCTGTGGGAGAAAGATGGATAATCTCCTCCCACACAATTTATGGCCTCTGAAACCTGTTGTAGGGTCAGCTTCCACTTGACTGCACAGAACAACAACAGTGGCTTCAATCAGGAACACCTTAGTTTTTATTTATTTTTTACAAAGAATATTTATTTATAAAATAAAATTGTTTTGTGATTTTAACTAAAGTTTATAAAAAGTTGGATTTTCATTCATTTATTTTTGCACATTTTCTTCCCTCCTCCTCCTCTCCCAGTTCACTTTAAAAAAAATCAATTCATTATTTTGACTTCTTCCCCTTTGAAAGAAAAACCTGAAGCTAGAGGAGCAGAGTGACTGAAGAGATAACTCTTGGTTTTCTGAAGCTGTGGACTTGGATTGGATGAATTGCTGGGGATTTGGAAAGAAAGATGATGAATTTCAGCTCCTCTGGCATGCTGTCCCAGGACACTAGTGTTCCCACTAACTTATGTGGTTTTTAAACACATTGGAAATGAGGTATCATTAAAATAAATTTTGATTTAGTCATAAAAAATATTGATTTATTGTCACACAATTTCCTCCCTACCCCAGGACACTTTGCAATTTGCTTCTTATTCTGGACTGTTGTCATAAAATAATGCCTAATAATATATTCCTTTTAAACATTTCTTTCCTTCAACTGTTTCAATGCAGTGTGCATTAGCTATCCCATCTTTTCCTATTTCACCCAACCCCACATGTCAGACCTGTTTTATAACGGTGATGCTATGCAGTGTTTGACTTCTGTGACTGAGATAGTTCACTCAGCATAATGTCCCCTGAGTCACCCATGTTGTGGAATGCTTTACAAGGCCCTTGATTGTCAATGCTGTGTAGTATCCCATTGTGTGAATATACCGTAGTTTTTCTATCCATTCATTTGTTGATGGGCACTTGTGTTGCTCCCATCTCTTTGCTACTGTGAATAATGCAGCAATAAACACAAGTATGCATACAGTTCTTTGGGTGGCAGCTCTGGTTTCTTTAGGGTATATTCCCAGTAGTGGCATTTCTGTGTCAAACGGTATTTCTATTTCCAACTTTTTGAGAAAGTGCTAGAAAGCCTTCCAAAGTGGTTGCACCATTTTACACTCCCACCAGCAGTAAATTGCATGTTTCATCAATTTCAGAAATTTCAGGTAAAAATTCTCAATTTCTTCCTCTTTGGTGCTAGATGTAGGAGCATATGTTTGAGTAATAGTTGTGTTAACAGGATCTTCCTTGTAGACTACGCAGATGTTTGACTATGTGTATCATGACTAACTGTGGCTGATGCTGAGAAGAATGGGAACCCCAGAACACTTGAGTGCACAATGCAGGAACCTATACCTGGATCAGGAGGCTGTTGTGTAAAGTAATTCGGGAGCGCTGCGTGGTTTGGAATTGAGAAGGGTGTGCATCAGGGTTGTGTTCTATCTTCGTACCTGTTCAGTCTATGTGCTGAGCAAATTATCTGAGAAGTTGGATTCTATGAAGAGGAATGTGACATCAGGATTGGAGGGAAACTCATCAATAACCTGCATTATGCAGATGACACAACCTTACTTGCTGAAAGTGAGGAGGACTTGAAGTGTATGTTGCAGAAGATCAAGGAATGCAGCCTTCAGTATGGATTGCATCTCAATATCAAGAAACAAAGATTAATACCACTGGACCAATAGGCTGTGTCATGATGGAAAGAGAGGAGATCGAAATTGTCAAAAGGTTCATCTTACTTGGATCCACAATTAACATCCTTGTTACCAGCAGTCAGGAAATTCTGAGACATATTGCCCTGGAAAAATTTGCAGTTAAGGACTTTTCCAAATTATTGAGTAGTAATGTCAGTTTGAGAACTAAGGTGTGCCTGATTCAGACCATAGTCTTTCCGATTACTAGCTATGCATCTGAGATCGTACAATGAATAAGGATGATATAAAAAGT